GGCGCGGGGGGGGGGGGGGGGGGGGGGGGGGGGGGGGGCAGACCCACACCCACACTGGGAGCTGGCTGCAACATTCCACACAGTGCATCTGAGCCAGGTAAAGAGCGTGGGAACACCCGGGTCCCCGAGTGGAGGAAGCATTGGAAGCTACAGACAATGTGGGAGAATAAATGAAGGGTTTGCCTGCAGAAGCATGTCTGTGACTCAAACACCTGACGAGAAGCAACCAGAGGAAAAGTTTATTTTCACTCCCGCTCGAGGTTGCCTTCCGTCCCGGCAGAGGAGCTGTGGTTGTGGGGACAGTTGTCAGTTGTGGCCACAGGAACAGGAAGTGGCATGTTTATATCCCCATGGCTCAGGAAACAGGACAGGAAGTGGGGTTGGGATTTAAACCTCAAGGTCCACCTCCCTGAGACTCACTTTCTCCAGCTTGGCCCCAGCTCCCAAAGGCTCTCCGTCCTCCCAAATAGTGCCACCAGCTAGGGACCAGCTGTGCAAACACACGAGCCCTTGGGGGACATTCTACATCCAAACTAACAGCAGCTCTCTTGAGCAGCATGGGGAAGGATAAGATATTTAACGCCTACTTTTTATAGTTCTGAACTATTATTTGGATTTTCCTAAGCTTGACACATAATTTTTTTAAGTACCAAGAAATGTTTCTCAGAAAGTGTGCATGGAAAATGTTATGAAAAAAAAAAACAACCAACCAACCAACCAGGTATATGTATATCATCGAGGGCTAGTTCACGTCTTCACATGGATGCCAACTGAAGGGTCGCGGATCTTTGGAGGACAATTTTACAGCAGGGTCAAAGTTAAGTGTGTGTCTTTTGACCACGGTACTTTTCTTCTAGGAGTTTATCATTCAAACATATATATCATTCAAATGTATATATGTGTGTATACACATATATGTGTGTGTGCATATATATAATATGTGTTTGCTGGTATATCAGCAAAAGTGATCTATGCACAAGAAAATGAATGCATTGATTGCAAAAGCAAAGTATTTTGGTGTGGGAAGGATCTAACTTCTATTAATCATAAATCAGTTGAATTAGCCAACACACACACACACACACACACACACACTCACAATGGAATAGGATTTTGTAATGAAGAAGTGATGATGGAATTTCTTTTTCATTTGGAAACATCTACACGATACATAGAAACGAGATTCAGAACAGTGCATATGATATCACTTTGCTTAAAAGATGATATATATATACATACTTATATATACATGTCCTCATTTCCATGTATATGAGTTTTAAAAGCCTCCAGAAGAATATACAGGAAACTCATATGAAGGGAAAATGGAGAAGAGACATAGGGAAGATAATTTACATGTATATTATGCTTTCTGGACCATATGAATGGACTAATATATTCAAAATAATATTTTTTTAAATCTAAGAAGTTATGCTGAAAAGTGTAACTAGTGGTTTTTGCATAGTGGGGTCATAGGATATAAGGGTTGTGCTTCTTTTCAAAGAGTTTTTCATTACTATAAATAAATAAATAAATAAATAAGGTCTAGGGAGCTGTCCCGGTCAGTAAAGCGCCTGGTATGCAAGCATGAGGACCTGAGTTTGGGTCCATGGCACCCATGTAAAAGCCAGGGTTGATTGTGTAGACCCAAACCCTGGTGCTTGGGAGTCACTGGGGCTCGCTGGCCAGCAGTCTAGCCAATCAGCAAACTCTGGGTTCGATTAGAGAGGCTATCTCACAAAATAACAGAAATAGAGGAAGATGCTTAATATCAGTCTTTGTCCTTGACACCACATGTGCATCTGTGTGCACATGTATCCCTACACACATGTACACAGGCAACACACACATTTTTAACTGCTTTAATTCAGATGAAAAATTTTAGTCAAAGAAGATTCTATAGACTGTAAGATCCCTTCCAGACAAAGGAAGCTGTGGTATTGCTCTACAGTGTGGTACCTCCTTCCAAGGTCTAACTCTCCCACAGCCAACTCTGCCAACGGCTAAGCTAGTCCAGTAAGGTGCTGGGAGGAGGAGGCTTTGGGAGAAAGTGCTGTGGGCAGCTGCTCAAGAAATCCCACCCAGCTCCCAGGGTAGGCCCCTACCCCTGGGGAGAACTAGAGTTTACCTCAGAACCCACCAACCCTGGAAGCAAATATGTAAATCCAGGGACAGACCTGGAACCATTGGTAGGGCTGCCAAGTGCAGAGAGACCCAGGGACAGGCAAGTTCCCCTTACCTCGCATCTTCACACACCGAGTCTGGCTGAAGGCGCTGTGCCTCCCAATGGCATTCACCCGCGCCTGCGCCTTCACACAGTACGTGGCCCCTGGTTCCATGGTTCCTAGGTGCAGTGGACTGTCCCCATTCTTCACCACCTTAAAATGCTCCTTTAAGAAAATCAAAACACAGTCACTGCCTAAGGGCAGCAGAGCTAAATATGCGGGGAGAGCTGGGTGGGGAAAACGTGCAGATAGCCCTTTTCCAGACCGCAGAGAACATTCCCTCATTCATCCACTCATTCATATGTATTAAGCCTGTATGTACTACTGACACAGGCACACAACATGGGAGCTTGCGCGCAGGAGAGAAATACCACATACACACATTCCATGTAATGATTGCGGCTGTGAAGAGGAAGCAGGGCAAGGCACGGAGAGTGGCGGAGGCACAAGGGTAAACAGGTGTTTAGAAACACCTCTCCAGCCAAACAGCATTTGAGCGCAGCCCATCCACCTGTCTTGTCCACCCTTCAATTCCCACTCTAAGCCCCAGGCCTGCAAAGGAGCCTGTAGAAGCTTGTAGGGCCCAGCCCAGATGACTCAGGGTATTCACTCAGCAATAAGCCTCCCAGATAAGAGGGTGGGGAATAGGCTCCGCCCCTCCAAAGACTATGAAGTTGATGCCTGCTTCCTCCTGCCCAGCCCCAGCCTTTCTCCCACCCTGTTCCATCTGCCTGGCTGGCAATGTGGTATACCCTGACCCAGCAGGGCAAACTGGCCCACATCCTGGCCCACCTGCCCACACCATGTTCCAAGAATAGCTGTCCCACTCAGCGGAGGGTACACGGGAGCATGTATACATACGGCCCCTAAACTATGTGACACTGGGCACCCCAGCCTGAGAAGGGTACCCACAGAGCTCAGCTGGCTGCTTGAAACCCACACAGCTCAGACTGATGAGCACAAGCAATGGGATCCACCCCTGGAGGATTTGGTCTTGGGAAACAGTACCTCAAGCTGGATAGGAGGACAAAGGGAGAAGACTGGGTGAGGGGGGATCAGTCTGAGGTGCCTGGAGGGCTCAGGGGGGCACAGTCATAGGCATGTGTAGGACCTGGGAGTGAAGGGGAGAAGCTACACTAAGACCTTCAATGAGAGACCAGCAAGGCTTCCACAGGTCAGAGTCCCTGAGTAGTTAAGACTATACTTCTGCTTTGCTCAGAGATTTGGTCAGAGTCTCTGTTGCCCTTACTGATCCTCCTGAGAAAGCCAGCTTTTCCTGGGTCCACTGGAGTGGGTCGCCAGACCTTGTCATTACATCAGCTTCAACAGGGCTACACAGGGAATGGTGTCCACAGTGTCCGCTGGGAGCTTCACCCTGCGGCTGCTGCTGCTGCTGCTGCTGCTGCTGCTGCTGCTGCTGCTGCTGCTGCTGTTTATTTGACCGTCCTTCTATGAGGGCCAGCCTCCCACTCACCCCAGACCACAGCAACCTTCCCATGGGGAAGGGCAGCTCCCTTCCAGGCTTTCTGCACGACCCGCCCAATCATAATTAGATAGGCTTATTCATAAGCCAGCTCCTGGCTCGCGGCCCTCCTTCTGCACTCTGCCAAGACACACACCCTCGAGAGGTTTTGTGCCCACCTTCTGTGCTTTTGAAATCATCCAGAACACCCTGAGCTGGAACATCCTGGCCTGCTGCCCCTGAGTGTCTGAGACTAGCTGACGAAGGAGAAAAAACTAAGGCACCGAAAAGGCAATAGGGAGTCCAATGAGGTGAGGCCTTAGGGAAAGGAGAGGAGTCCCCCAGACTTCAGTGGACCTGGCCTGAAGAGGGCCCTGGTGTCCTGGCCAAGGTAGAAGATGAGCAAAGGTTACATCTTTGAGGAAGGGGTCGACGGATAGTTCTCTCATCCCTTCCTTCTCCCACCACTTAGCTCACACGCACTACAAAACTGGGCTTGACTCCCTCAGCCCCAGAAAGCTCTGCTCCTCTGAGGCCCTGCTCAAAGGCCAAGGTCAGTAGGAAGCCTCACCGTGGCGTCAGGCTCCTTCCTCCAGTAGAACACAAGGAACTCAAACAGGGGCCCCAGGTCTTCCAGCTTAACAACCAGATGCAAGCCGTATTCAGTGACCACCATCCTGGGTGGGGTGAGGACCGCTGTTAACGAGAGAGAGAAAGAAAGAATCAAAGCCAGCTCTGGACCGAACTGATTTTCTTGGAGTAAAATGACCAAGTCATCAGAGGAAATACAGCAGCCCTATGGCCAAGGGAGAGAGAGGACCTGCTAAAGGGTTCTAGGGTGTGGAGTCATGCACATAAGGGGTTTCCTGCACTCCATGGGTGCTCATAAAATCTTTTTAAAATTCTATTTTTATTAAAATATGTTTTCAAAGATTGTGTGCATGTGCACACGCACACATGCATGCACTTGCCTATAAAGCATAGAGGCCGTTTCTCTCCTTCCACCAGGTAGGTCCTGGGAATCAAACGCAAGTCATCCTGCTTGGCAGCAAGCTCCTTTGCTTGCTGAGCCATCTTGGTGGCCCTCATAAAAATGCTTTTTGAATTATGACTGAGTGGAAAACAAATGGTAAAGACTTACTACAATTCATTCTTTATTCCAAAGAGATCTATCCCTTCTCCAGGAGCACAGGCTCAAGAGAAGGGATGAAGGACTCAAGAAAACATCGCTGTCCCTTTGAAGGTGCATGCTCTGTCTCCTCTCCCCACAGCCCTATTTCGCTGTTCTTCACCTCAGTTCATCCTGTGATCAGATGCTGGTCCTTAACGCTTGCTGAACACCGGCCTGACTCTAAACTCTGCTGGGCACAGCTGGCTTGGTCTCTGCTCCTTGGGAATGGACATACTACCTGAGAGGGCCAACCCTAGCATCCCTGTTGTTACACAGAGCACCGGCACACACTGGTATCTGGTGCCTTGCAGACATCAGCAAATTAGCAACTGGGGGGGGGGCTTGGCCCTTCTCGTCTTGACCTCAGGATTCTTCATCTCATATGGAAACTGTCAGCAAGTCAGACGACAATCCGTTCTAGAAATTACAAGCACCATCTTCACTGTGCAGATTCCCAGAGAGGCCAGCAGCTCCTGGGGACGCTTTTCCACCAAGAGGCCAAGAACAGAAGGGTCCACACAGGCTGCCTCCCTCAATATCAGTCTAGAAACTCAAGGACCGGAAGGGCCAGTGTGATGGTTGGTATCGGCTTGGGAAGTAGAAGGGGATGTGTCACGGACCATAACCCTTTACATTTGGGCCCAAGGGCTGTGGAGAAGAAAGAAAGTTCCTAGAGGGAGCATTCAGAGGGCAAAGTATTTTTCCCTTGCCATCCTCACTGGAGAAAATATCCCTGGGTTTGGTGAGCTGCCCCTCGAAGGGACAAAAGGATTTGGTAGTCAGGCCACCTGTGCAAACAGAGCCAGCCCAGACACAACATCACTGCCTCTCAAAGACACACAGAGAAGGCCCGCCTCCTCCAATCTTAGGTCACATGTTATTGGAATCTGGGCCTCTGAATGCCCAGTCTTTTTGATAGACAAAATGACCTGAATTTCAGTTTAGAGAATTTTATTTATTTTTTTTTTTATTTCTTTTCTTTCCCAAGCACTGGGGCAGAAGCCTCTGCCCTACACACTCCATACTTCTCTCACCTGACCCACCGAGAAACTTCGGAAGGCAAATCTTAGCCCCGCGGAACAGAGATGTTAAGGAAGTTGCCTGGAGTCACATAGCTAACAGCCAGAATTAAAGCCCGCGTCAGCCTCCATTCCCAGCCTGTGCTGAGTGAGGTGTCTGTCCGCTGCAGTAGAGAGTCGCAGCTCTAGCTGCACATGACAATAACCTGGGTAGAATCTGAATTCCCAAACAGATGGGCGCTCACACATCATTCAAATCAGACACCCCTAGAGTGGCCCCAGACGGGTGGCCTTTAAGCTCCATGTGATTATAACATGAAATTGAGGTTAAGAATAGCTGCCTTCGCTAAGTTTAGGAATAAGAGAGCTCGGTGGGAGAACACTAAGGCACAATTTTTTTAAGTGTCGGAGAAATCAGAGGCCCCCCCACACACACTATGGGAAAGGCAGGTGGAGTGGCAGTACCAACCAGGCGGTGGTGGCACACACCTTTAATCCCAGCACTCGGAAGGCAGAGGCAGGCGGATCTCTGTGAGTTCAAGTCCAGTCTGGTCTACAGAGTGAGTTCCAGGACCGCCAGAGCTACACAGAGAAACCCTGCCTTGAAAAAAGCAAGAGGAGGGGCGTCTAGAGCTACCGCAGCTAGATCGCTGACTCCACCACACGTGAAGACCACAGGATTCTTGAGAGAGACCCTACCCTCTTCAGCACCTGAAACTCTCGTCTCAGCTTCCCCTACAGCAAGGCCTTTTCCTGTTTATGCTGGCCTCTTAAGCCCACACGTTTCACTGTCCGGCCCCTCCCAAATAACTATTGGCGTTCCCTGATCTCTATCTGACCTGACCTTCCTTCCAGTGAGAGCTGCCAGACCCCAGTGGAGTTCTTGGCCAGATCCCCAGGCTCCCAGGTGCCAGAGGAAGTAGTGCTGGGTGCTACCTGAACTCTGTGGGCAGAGAAAGAGCTGCAGGGTCCTCCAGTGCTCGTAAACCCCCAGGCGCCTGCACTGGGGTCCTGCCGCTTCAGTCACATCTCCCTGTGTCTCCCCGGTGCCTGGGAAAGATGCCCAGCAGAGAAGGCAACAAAAGCCTCCCTGGTATCCCATTCCAACAGTCCTGGTCTCCTCCTCTGCTCCCTGGCTCTCAGCTCCAGCATCCCCAGGGCAACACTACTAATCCTAACGAAAGTTGAGAGCTGTGGTAAGACTGGACTGTGTTGAGCATCGACGTGTTTCATTTCCCGTGATCCCTCAACTATCCCATAAGGCAAAATGTTGCATGCATACAGCTCTCAGGCTCCAAGTTGGATTTAAACTAACCTTCATAATTCCTCAGGGCCAGTTTGAGATCCCTTGCCGTCAAAACCCTCCTGACTTTCTCTCAGCATCCTCTGTCCTCAATAACTTGACTATTACTGGATGCTGACCTAATGTTCCTGAACCCGCACTTCAAGCAGATCTTCCATCACAAGAAGAAAATTGGCTACTGAGGGTCCTGCCCTTCCCCAGCACCAAACTCTGAGCATCCCCTCCCCCGACTCCCACCTTAGACAAGGTGCTGTCCCTTATCACCACCACCCGGTCCTCTATGTGTGGCAGCTGCAGCCACAGTCACTTTCTCAAACACCACCTGGGGACCTCCTTAAGCCTGCCTACCCAGCCACTTCCTCGTAGTCTTCCGTCTACATCTGAAACCTTGAGCTGTCTGGGACCCTATTCTGGATTCTCTTTATCCTCCCTACCTAGACCCTGGACATTCACATCTATTTCCAGGCCTATAGCTAGGAACCTTTGTTGTGTGTTTGGCTTTCACCTCCAAGAGTCCATGGCCTGATTTCCGGTTGCTGTGCATCCATAGCATGCCATGTTGCAGGAACCTGAGCTCCAAAACCACATAGATAGTCTCCTATTCTCAAGAACTGTTTCTCCTGTTAGGTTCTCACCAACCCAGGTAAGAAACTAGATTCTGTCTTCCCACTCCATCCCCAGTAACTGGACCCCAAGCTCGGTCCATTTTAAATGTAGCCATATCTCCTGAATTCATCCACTTTCCTGTCTTACTTAGGGTTTCTGTTGCTGCAGTGAAGCACCATAACCAAAAAGCAAGTTGGAGAGGAAAGGCTTTATTCAGCTTATACTTTCATATTGTCGTTCATCACCAAAGGAAGTCAGGACAGGAACTCAAGCAGGCCTGGAACCTGAAGGCGAGAGCCGATGCTAAGGTCGTGAACGGGTGCTACTTCCTGGCTTGCTTCCCAAGGCTTCTCAGCCTGCTTTCTTACAGAACCCAGGACCAACAGTCTAGGGGTAGCACCACCCACAGTGGGCCGGGCCCTCCCCATCAATCACCAATTAAGAAAATACCTTACAGCTGAATCTTACGGAGGCATTTTTCTCAACTAAGGTTCCCTCCTTCCACATAACTTTAGCTTGTGTCAAGTTGATATAAGCCTAGCCAATACACACACACACACACACACACACACACACACACACACACACCATCTTCTCTGCTGCTGTACAAACCAGAATCCATCCTGGCTTAGCTGAAGGTAACAGTTCCCCTCTCATTCTTCCTCTGCCCTACAGGCTTACCTACTCCTGGTCACTTTCCTCCCAGGGGCCATAGTGTTTGTTCTGTAAGAAAGAGGCGGTCCAGACCCCATCTTCTTCCTCTGCTCCCATCCACTGACTTGGTCGAGCTTTTACTATAGGGCTAGCTGCGTCTCTACTCCATGGCCCATCCATCCATCCCCCACCTCATCCCAAAGGCACACATTCCTTTCCACTCTAGCCATGGCTTGCACTCAGCCACCACTAGCCACTTGCCTGGAGTCTTCTCTTCCCTTCCAATCGTTTTCCAATTATAATTGCAATAGCAAAGGTGTTTGTCAGCAACCACAGAGAGGAATGTTTCTAGTAGCTGTTAAATATGCAGATGTTTTTAAACAACCAAACCGCTCTCAGCAGTGTGGGGTTAATAGGCTCCAGATGGGAGATTTACGGAGGCATGATCAGAATAAGAATCCTAGTGCCAAGGCTAGAGCTCCATACCTGTAGAGCCTAACAAGGACAGCCAGGACTGCCTTCCAGAGTGCGGAAGGAGAAAAGACAGCACGTGAGACCGACCGCAGTTTACAAACATGTCAGAAAGGGTGGTTTGTATTTATCAGTACACCAGCTGATTTCAAGCTGAACATCTAAGTAAAGGTAGTTCCTGCGGGGTGGGAGGAGGTGTGCCTTACTTGAGTTTCGATTAAAGGGGGGCTCCAGCGTGCTCCAGGCTGAAGTCTGTGCGCCCAGCATGGCCCTGACCCTGAAGTTATATGGAACTGTGGCAGTGACGTCATCAGTGACGTCGCACTCCAGACTGTCGGTCGGTGAGCACTGGCTGCTGGGGATCCAGAGGTGGCTCGTGTACAGGCTCTCATACTCCCTGGCCAAGGAGAAGAAGGCACAGAATCACACACACCCATTGAGATGGACTCAGAGATGGCTGTCACTGCCTCCGTTCTGCTTTTGGGGGTCAGCAGGATAAGCATCCTCTCCCCAACTCCAGATCCTCTACTTGCTTCCCACTCCAACCACCACTCTCGTTTATTCCTCGGGAGCCTTCGCATGAGCCTGAATCTGTCCGTGGTCACCACCCTCCTCTCAGGCACCATCATGTCTTGCTTGCTGTGATTTCCCATTCTCTACATTCTACTGTAGAGATCCCGTTCCTTAAACACTCCATACAGCAGACCATGATGTTTCTGTACCTAATGGCTTCTTCTCTAGCCTTCTTCCATCCTACCCACTAAGGATGTTACTTCTTCCCAGTGACCTGTGGCTCTCCCCTTCGAAATGCTGATCTCTTTTTGCCTTGAATCTCTGACTAGATCATCACTGTCTCAAATGTTCTGCCTCTGCTATCCCACAGGTAGGGTACAAATATCACCTCCTCCAGAGGCCACCACCTAAGACAAAGGAGCTGCAAACTCAACTCCATTGCCCCAGCCTTCACAGCTTCCTACTGGGACTCAAAAGTCTAGGTTTGGCTCAGAGCTCTATGCTGATGGAAAGGTTTTGCGTCCCGTCGTTGTTCGGTGGGGGTAGTCACTGGCCACTTGTGGCTTTAGAGTATGTAAACAAGGAAGAATGGAACTCAAGGCATGTTTCAATTTAATTTAAACTTAAATAGCTACTAGGAGCTAGTGGCTGCAAAGCTAAGGAGCACACAGCCCGTGTACTTAGCATCTTCCTCTAGAGCAGTGGTCCTCAACCTTTCTGATGCTGCGACCCTTTAATACAGTTCCTTGTGGTGGTGTGGGGACCCCAACCATAATTTTTTTGTTGCTACTTCATAATCATAATTTTGCTACTGTTATGAATCTTACCGTAAAGATCTGATATGCAAACCGAGGGGTCACAACCCACAGATCGAGAGATGCTGCTCTAGAAGCTAATTTCCCTGTAGCTAGAAGTGTGCACCTCTGTGTCCCCCCCCCCCCGGGCGGGGCCTAGAAGAATGACTACACATGCAGGACTCGGTTTGTGCTTATTGCTAAAGAAATGTGCTGAGCACCAACTCTGCCAGTCACTTCTCAGAGACTGCTAGAGCCAGGACAGCTGGGGAAAACTAATCAGGTTCACCTCTGGGCCAGCTGAACTTTAGGGTCAAGACTTACTTGGGCTTCTAGATATATATGCAGAGTCAAGAAAACTGTGACCTCCTATACCCCCAAAGGGAGTGGTTCTCCAGGTTGCAGGTCAGGCCCAAACTCACCAGACAGTTGGCTTGCTGTTGAAAACGGGCACAACAAAATGTCCCTCCACACCCATTCACACCAAGGGGTGGACCAGGAAGAGCATCTATTCTCGGGCCTCAAAGCCTCCTGGAGCAGAGAAGGAAGGGCTATCTATCCCTCTCGGACATGTTGTCTAAGGAAGACAAATTACTAAGCAAGGCAAACTCACCCTTGGTACTCCACAGAATAGGACACTGTCTCCCTGGGCTGGGCCACTGGACTCCACATCAGGAGATGCTTCATGTTGGTTGACAGTACAGTTAAGTTCTGCGGGGCAGGCAGAAGGGCCACTCCGCCTGGGGTGAAATTAAGAGGGACAGTGAGAGCTGGCATAGCTTCAGATTCCGCACTTGTCCAAGTGCTAGGTCTTCCCCTCCCTGGTTTAGCTCTGCTGCATCTGTAGTGATTACAGCCCCGCTTTAGTGAACAGTGTTCATATTCTGAATAGGTCATTGCTAGATTGCTACAGAACTATCCTATGTAACTTTCTTTTCTTTTTTTCATTTTTTCCTTTTTTTTTTTCTTTTTGTATTTTTGAGGCAGGGCTTCTCTGTGAAGCCCTGGCTGTCCCGAAATTCCCTCCTTAGACTGAGCTGGCCTCAGAGATCCACCTGCCTCTGTCTCCCAAGTGCTGGGATTAAAGGTGTTCACCTCTATGCCTGGCTTTTCATGACCCTACTGAGTTTAAGAACCATTATTTCCCCCACTATATAAACAAACAAAGCAGAGGCATGTTATTTGTTCATGGATATGTTTTTTTATAACTTTACTTTAGTGTGTATGTATGATAAGAATGTGTATGAGTGAGGATGTACATATGCCATGGTGTATATGTGGGTGCCTTTAGGATCCTCTCCTTCCACCAATGGGAACCAGGTTCGCACTTGGGCCATCAGGTTTCATGAAAACATCTTTATTGGGTGAGCCATCTCACTGGTCCTATTTATTTTAATGAACATATAAAATATGTACCCATTACATTTATGGATAGCTATGTGGTATTTTAGCACATATATGTAATGTGTTATTTCAAATGAAAGCAAGCCTATGTTTCTCAAACATTTATCATTTCTTTTTAATTCAAAGCCTTCACATATCCTGTGTTCTGGGCCTTTTGAAATTACTTTTTCCTCTATAGTTAGTCTTCTATGCAATAGCACACCAGAATAAGCTCTAACCGGAACTCAGTAGTTGTTAACCAGTCTTAGCCCTGTCCTCTCTCTGGATCCACGCTCCTCTCCAGCCTCTGGTCACCACTGTCATTCCATTCTAAACACACAAGGTCGACTCTTTGACAGTCCGCCTAGGAGCGAGACTTGCGATATTTATCTGTCTGTGCCTTGTTTATTTCATTTAACATAATATCTTCCAAACCGCCCATGTCTGCCTCTTATGGCTGAACAATATCCCACTGTATGTAGGTACTTTTATCTATTTATCGGCTGATGGACATTTAGGTTATTTCCACATCTTGGCTTCTGTAAACAGTGCAGCAGATGTCTCAACATAGCTATTTAATTTTCCTTTGGATGTATTATATAACAGTGGCAGGGTAGACAAATCAGATGGTGGCTGCACTTGGACTTTTTGAGGAAGCTCCACACTGTTTTCCATAAGGATTATAATAGCTTACATTCTCGGCAATAGTATGTACCAGTATCTGGCTTGCTATTTTTAACTTTTTAATAAAAATCACTTTTACTGTGGTTCTGGGGGATTTCCTCCCAGGGGTTTATACATCTTAGGCAAGTGTTCTTCTTTTGAGTTACATTCCCAGTCTGGGGGTGAGGTGATAATCTTATTTTGGTTTTATTTTGCTGGGATGATTAACAACGCTGACCATTGCTTTATATATCTGCTGGTCATTAGTACCGTGCACTTTAGAAACGTCCATTTAATTTTACTGTCCATTTTCAATCAGTTTATTTATTGACTTACTATTGGGCTCCTTATAGAGTCTACGTGATAGCCTTGGAGCCGGCTGACCTGGATCCAGGCCTTGACGCAACCCTGGACTATGTTATCTTATGGAACCAGAATAACCTGAGCCTCCTTCATGGCAAACCCACTTAGGCTTTTGCCAGTTTCTCAACATGCCCATCTCCAGCTTCTCCATCCCTGGGCACCAGAACACATTAGCTCGTGGCCAGCAAGGCCAAATGGGGCATCAGTGGCCAGGTGGAAAGCTCTGACTCAGGTCTACTGTGGGCAAAGTCCAGCAGAGAGGGGTACCAAAACAGTTCAGAGACTCCACCCGGGGCGGACTGCGAGCCCGAGAACCCACGTGCGGCACAGGAGACTCCTCCCGTGGATAAAGGCAGTGTGTCGGGGACACACCCACAGTGGTACTACAGTTTGCACCTGTACTCGTAAGAACTGCAGGCAGCTCAGCTTTGCCTGGAGCCCCAGGGCGCCGTCTGGACCTCTGCAGCTCTTCTTCCCCCTTTGACACGCTCTCTTCAAGCGCCAAGCACCTGCTCCTCTGCCGTTACTGTCACAGTGATGGTATCCAGCAGTGTCACGGCAGACAGAGTGACAGCTGGGCCTTTATCTAGGCTCTTTCGGTTTCTGCCTCTAGATGGGCACCTGCTGTTTGCGATCAAGCATCAAGCCTCATGACCACGAGGGAGAAGGGGGCTCCTGAAACAGCCTGTCTGCTGGCACTTTGCCTCTCTTCTAGCATAGGACCCTGGTGATGAGCCTTCGTCTCTTCCTTAATGTACTCACTCTGTCTGGGAAGAAAGACCTAGGGCAGTCGCAAGGGGCCTTCTCGGCTTTCCAGCCATAATGTCTTTATTTTTTTTCCAATTCATAATTTTGTTATTAGCTTATGTTTATTGTTCAAAAGAACAGTCTTTACAAAACTCTCAAATGTTTGCTGGGTGGTGGTGGCGCACGCCTTTAATCCTAGCACTCAGGAGGCAGAGGCAGGTGGGTCTCTGTGAGTTTGAGGCCAGCCTGTTCTACAAAGTAAGTTCCGGGACAGCTAAGGCTACACAGAGAAACCCTATCTTGAAAACAAAAAAACAAAGCTTCTCAAATGTGCATGGCAAATTCTTGGATCATAACCCACACCACCCGATTCTGCTTCCCTCCCTGCTTCTAGTGGTCCACTTTTCCTTCACAAAAGCCACCCTTCTACTTTTGTCTTATTACTTAAAATGAATAAAAACAAACCTATATTCTGCATATGAGAGAAAATACCACGTGTCTGAATCTCAATCATTCTGCTCAACATAATGAGTTCAGGTGTCATCCATTTTTATTCGAATGACATGATTTTATTCTTTTGTGAGACTGGGTCTTTTGTGAGACTATGAAGCCAACGATGGCCTGGTCTCAAACTCACAGCAATGCCCTCCCCGCCCCCAGGCTGTGGAAGAGTCAGGCATGGTCACTCACATTCATAATCCCAGCAGTCGGGCAGCTGAGGTAGGAGACTAAGCTAGAAAAAGCCTAGGCTACATAATGAGTTCCAGGCTGCTACAGTATTAGATCCTGTCTCACTGTTTAAAGAAAAAAAAAAAAGATTATGAACTGGAATAACTAAAACTCTGTGTGTCTGTCTCTGTATGTGTGTGTGTGTGGTGTGTGTCTATGTATGTGTGTGTTTTGCATGTCTATCTGTGTCTGTGTGGTGTGTATATTTGTGTCTGTCTGTATGTGTCTATGTGGTATGTATGTTTGTGTGTGTGCCTATGAGTGTGTCTGTGTCTGTCTCTCTGTGTGTCTATGTGGTCTATATATTTGTGTGTGTGTATATGTGCATCTGCATGCGTGTACACATATGTTGGTGCTGGGATTTGAACCCAGGACTTTCTGAATATCATAAACATGTACTGTATCACTGAGAAAAACTCACAACCCAACTAAAACAAGTTTGAAAGAGAGCAGGTCATGAGATGACTCAGACAGTGAAGGGCTTGCTGTTCAAGCTCATGAGATCCCCGGAACCCATGCAGAGGTGAGAGGAGAGAAGCAACTCCACAAAGCTGTCATGGGACCCCACATGAGTACCACAGCATTCGCTGCCCCCGATAATAAAAGTATTTTTTAGAGTAAGAGCAGAGAAACCAAATCCATACATTCCAAGAATTACAGTAATTAAGACTGCAATTTGTGGGATCAAGAAAGATAAAGAAACACAGATCAAAAGGCAAAAATGGAAGACAGCTCCACTCACGTATGCTCAAGTTTGATTTGATAAAGATACAAAGCAGTTCAGTTGAGGAAAGAATAAACTTTAAAACAAATAATTGTGGAACAGTTTGACATGTGCTGGGGAAATAAAACTCCACTAAACCTCACATATTATATAACGATAAACTTAAAATGAATCTTAACCATTACCTCACAAAGGACAACTGTCTAGAATACATAATGAACACTCTAAACGTAATGTCAGGACATCAAAAAACTAAGAGATAACATAAAAAAAGGTACGAAGAGAAATTTCACCAACAGAAATACAGAGAGAGCAATAAGAACATGAAAAGATATTTAAATTGGAGTCGGTGTGATGGCTCAGTGGCTAAGAGCACCTGCTGTTCTTCCAGAGGACCCCGGTTCAATTCCCAGCACCCTCATGGCAGCCAACAACCATTGCAACTCCAGTTCCAGGGGCTCCAATACCTTCCTCGAGCTTCCAAGGGCACTAGGAACACATGCTGCCAAAATACCCATACATGGAAGCATATTTTGTTTATAAAGATGTTTAGGTCATTTGCTAAGGAGAAAATGCAAATTAACACCACGATGAAACAGCATTACTGTGTAGTTAACGTTACAAAACTAAATTCTGGCAACGGGACAGAGAAGATGGATCCCTCATACACTGCCAACAGACTTGTAGATTGGCACATGGATTCTGGAAAATTGGCAGTTTTTTTTTTTTCAAACTAAATATGCAATTACTATCTGACTTAGCAGTTGTGATCTTGGGCATTTAGCCTAGAGAAACAGAAACTTCTGCCACGTAAGATCTGAATATGAATGTTTAAAATTGAACTAGGATTGCTGCAAGTGTCTTCCAATGGGTGAATGGGTAAACAAAGGGTAACAGGCAGGTAATGAGAAGGGGTCATGAGCAAGGAACCCAGGAAGCCTCTAGTGGCTTGGGATGGCCAGGAAACAGCTAGACCCTGAGAGCCTCCAGAAGGTTCACAGTGCTGCAAACATGATGCAATCCTGTGACTCAGTAGACAAGTTAGTTCCACTGGAAATTATCTCAGACTTTCAGAGATGCACAGCAGCAGAGGGGGCTTCTGGATCCCCGTGTCCGTCCTTCCTTGTGTCCACAGAACACAGTGTAACTATAAGATACGACCGTCAGTGGCTGCAGTGTCCCAGACCAACAGTCTTATCACTTCTATGCTTTATTTATGCGTTTCTGCTTTATTTTCTTTCTTCCGGGAACCAGTCCAGGACTCTCCATGTAGTTGTCATACCTAGTTAGTCTCTTCCAGTCTGTTCTCAATCTGTCTTTGTCTTTTATGATCTTGACATTTCTAAAGAGCACTGATTGGCTGTTTTATAGCTTTGTTCTCGGTTTGGGTCTGTGTGATTTCACAGGAATGGAGTGAATTTACACATTTTTAAAGGTTAGCTTGTTTTATCCGATGCCTTTGCTACCACAGCACCATCTCACACTTAGGGACGTCCCCTGGACACATGCCTGAGAGCGACAGGACGGTGCGCCAATTTCAGTTCCTTCGGTATTCTTCATGAATTCCTCAAAGGCTGATGAAGCTGCCCACCCACCCACCCCCATCCTAGTTTCCCAGGGGAGATCAGTCTTAGGCTGTCCCTTTCAGCATAGTAGCTGGAGACAGGTCTCAGCTATGTGACCGTACCGCGAGAGGTGCTGGGGACAGCATTGGTGCTCAGGACAGCTCTTGGCCTTAGACCTAATAGTAAGACTCAAGACTCCCACACTCCAAGCCATATACTACAGCTTTGTTCTTTGAAGACTGAGCACAGTGACTAGAGTCTGGTCTGAGACTGTGCATACTCTGGCTGAGTGATTGCTGTGTGCTTTAATGTAGCAAAGGTCTCTGTCCCCAGGGCCAACCAAAAGCCAAATATGCTCCTTCTGGCCCTCTTCCGTGAGATGCACCAGTGGGCATCAACATGCTCAGGCACCGTCTCCCAAGCATTCTTGCTTAGGGCATTCGTTTCCACCTTGTGTACTCTTTCTATGTACGTCAGAAGAGAGTAAGCCCAAGCAACTGGTTGCAAAATACATATTTTGCTTTGTACTCACAGAAGGACGTGTGTCAATATGTGTAATTACCAGTGATGCTAATCTTGATCTGCAAAGCTGCAATTTATCTGCTAGTTAATAAACACACTGGGAGGGATATGTGAGAGTATGCACATCCTTTTCACCCTTTCTCACGTTAACTCGGGCAGGTGTTGGTAGGTGACCTTCCAGCAATCTCTGCAGTTATGATATGAGTCTCTTTTAACTGAATTGGGATGCTCCTAAAAAGAAGAGCCATTCCTCCTCCATGATTTGTTATGTTTTCAGAGATTTGCTTATTTGCATAGACTCATAGGTACTGATTTCATTTTATGGCTAAAATCCAACGCTACTATTATTGTTACTCAGTTGTTCCAGCTTTGGCCAATTAAAACTCTTTCAGGTTGTATCCATTTGACTCATTGTTGCCCACCTCCCACTCTTTTCCCATTCTAATTTTGTGAATTGATTTTGTTTTGTATTGTTTTGTTGTTGCTGTCGTTTTGGTTTTGTGGTTTTGGTGTTTTGAGACAAGGTTTCTCTATGTAGCACTGACTGTCCTGGAACTAGCTCTGTAGACCAGGCTGGCCTTGAACTCAGAGATCTGCCTGTCTCTGCCTCCCAAATGCTGGGATTAAAGGTGTGTGCCACCACAGTTTGTACTGTTTTTTGTTTGTTTCTTTTTGAGACAGGATCTATGTAGCCTTGGCTGGCCTCAAAATCAGAGATCCACCTGTCTCTGCTTCTGAGTGCTGGGATTAAACGCACTGGTCACGACACTCAACCTTATTAATAGGCTTTAAAACAGTAACTTTAGACCTACAAATTTCAAAGACAATATAAGCTCCAAACAAAGCTAACATCTTATGTAACCACGATACAGTTATCAAAACTGTGAGACTAACGTGGATCAATTACCATAACAAAATTCCAGACTTTATTTGGATTCTGCCAATTCTTCCACTAACAACTTTTTCCATTCCAAGATCCAACCCAAGATACTACGCTACATTTAGGCCTTCATCCTATTTTAAGCACTTCATTGCTTACCACAGATGCTCCTGTCTCATCTTGCATTTTCCTGCCCAGTTCTGTAAGCATCCACTGCTCTAAAGAGCCCCACCCAGGGACTTTCAAAAATCCCAGTGCCTAGGCAGTACCCCAGACGAATTTAGACTCTCTGGCTGCCTTGGCAGTTACATGTGTAACAGCTCCCCAGTGACT